CAGGGCGCAGGAACGCGGCTGCTGGCAGCGGGGATGGCAGCTCTGGGTGCGGGCTCAGCCGGCACCCGCGGGCCCCTCGGTGGCCGCTGGGGAGGGAAAAAAAAAATCATGGAATGGTTTGATTTGGAAGGGACCTTGGAGCGCTCATCGCGTTCCGCTCTCCGTCATGGGTAGGGACATCTACCACTATCCCAGGCTGCTCCGACCTGGCCTGGAACGCTTCCAGGGATGGGGTATCCAAATGGCCCAGGGGTGCTCTGTGCCTGTGAGCGTTCCCAGCGGCAGCGGCAGCAATTCCGGCTCCTGCGGGGCAGCTCCAGTGTGGGCTGAGCAGCTCTGGGCTCTCGGCTCTCCCCGTGCCAGCCCCACGCTGGGCCGGCTCCGCAAACAGCCGGGGGAGCGGATGAGGGCAGGGGCCGATCCCGGCGGGGGTACGCCGAGATTTACACAGGCGCTTTCTCCAGCCAGCATCCTGCTGCGGCCGGGACATCCGAGCCCTTCCCGGTGCCCCCTGCTGCTCCTGGAGCAGGGGAGGAGGCGACCCGCGGGTGTCCCCGGCAGGCAGCGGCCGCAGCTCTCGGCTTGGCACGCTCCCGTCACCGACAGGCAGGGATGGGACCTCTCTGGGTTATCCCCAACCCCATCTCGGTGGCAGCTCCTCTCCCCATCCCACATGGCCGTGTCCAGCTCGCTGGGAGGAGGATCGGCACCTCCGCAGTGTTTCCTTGGAAAAGCCCCGCGGGCTTGGGCGCTGCTTGCGAGGACGGGGGATCCGTGCACGGAAAAAACCTGCAACGTCTTGTCCTTAATCCGTCTGCTGGGTTCGCTCCCGCGTGGAGCCGGTGCCTGCTGTGACAGGCAGAGCCTCTGCTGTGGCAAGAGCACCTGGGTGCCCTGCAAACAGCGGGGCACAGCCAGCCCGCGGGAGCTGCAGGACACCGAGGGAAGGGCGTCAGGGAGCGATAAAGCTCTCAAGTACGGAAAGAGGAGGTGTTGGTGGCCCAGCCCTGGTCATACGTGCCACCGGTGTCACCCTCTGCGGCCCCGGGTGACTTTCCAGGCTCTGCCCGCAGCCCTCTCCCGCCCTGCGCTCCCCATCTGGGATGTTCCCGCCCGGATCCGGCTCCTGGCTGGGGAAAGCTGTTATTTACCTTCAAACCTGTTTGGTGGCTTCTCCGGGGAGGGGACGAGCGCGGGGTGGGGACGCGGTGGGATGGAGGCTCGCTGGGCTGTTGCAGGGGCTGGGAATGGGGGTGGTCCTGCCCCGGGACCCCTCTGGTCTGCTGCCAGCCCCTCTCCTGGATCTGGGATAACTCAGGGAGCAGGAGACACTCTGTGTCACCTCAGGGCTGGCTGTGGGGCAAGTGTGGGGCAGCAGAGAGGTCGGGGCAAGTTGCACAACCCCGTGTGCTCCTGTCATGACAGCAGCCGTGGCTGGAGGCGACTGGAACCACGGCTCTGCTCCAAACGGGATTTCACCCTGCACCAGCTCCTTGGCAGAGCCTGCTGGCTCACCGAGGTGATACCAGGCAGCTTTTCCTGCTGTGATTTAGAGGAAGAAAAAAAAAAAATGATCCAAGTTTGTTTTCCCAGTTGAAATTAATTTTAGTTCAGCCTCTGCGTGGGATCGTGTTTGAGAGCCGAGCCAGCAGCGTGGATCGGGCGGTGTTTATTTGCTTGGTGGAGATGTTTTCCTGGCTGGAGCAGCCCCCCAGGTGTGGCCGAGGGCAGGCTGGCAGCAGGGGCTGTGTGGCCAGAGCCACCGTAAATATTATTGTGCCCTCACCCTGCCTGGAGTGCTCAGCAGTGCTCCCAGGGTGTGGATCCTGTGCTGAGACGAGGATTTGGGGAACGGGTTGGTTGTCTTTGGGAGCTCCCAGACACCCTAAAGAGCTGAAGGTTGCAAAAGGAGCAGAGGGGCTGGATAGGGTCCCTTCCAAATCTGAATATTCTGTGATGCTGGAGCACAGCTCTGTCAGGGTCCATCCATGTCCTGACAGCTCCATAGAGCTCTCAGGAATGGGGTTCACGGTGCACCCCTCTGGTGTTATCCATGCCTGTGGCATCTGCAGGCAGCTGGGAAGCAGAGCAGTCCCCAGGCCTGGGAGGGACCCCCAGAGTGGTGGGAGGGCACCAACCCCACGGGGCAAGGGGGGGCTTCTCGCTCCCCTCTGTGCTGCCGGGAGAAGGGAGACAAAGGCTCCATCCCGCAGAGAGCAGGACACAGGCGGGCTCCCCTGGGGACCTCGCAGCCCCTTCCCGTCCCCCTCCTCCCCATTTTTCCGCGGTGAGTCAGTGGCGGTGGAGGGGCGGGCAGGGAGCCGCTGCCGTGCGGGGAGCAGGCAAGTCGGGGCAGTGCCGAGCAGGCAGAGATGGATGTTTGCAGCCCAGCCCGGCCAAACCTGCTGCTCGCAGGAGGCACAGGCCGGGCGAGGAGGGGGACAGGAGCTGGGATTTTCTCTCCTGCCTCTCTCCAGGTGAGGAGCAGCGGTGTAAGAGCTGGGCCAGCTCCGAGTTCTGTTTGCAGCATGGGGCTGGGCGGCCCTGGCCGTGTTCTGTGGGGTCCCAGTCCTTGTGCAGCCCTTCCCATCCTCACTGGTACCTCCAGCCCGTCTCAGGCAGAGCTGAAAGCGGCGTGCCTGGGGTTCCCTGTCCCTTCCCATCGTCGTGCCTCATTCCAGGGATATTTTGCTCCCTCTGGACCATCCCTGGCACTGGCAGCAGCAGGTACCAGCTCCGAGCCGGGAAGCCCATCCTTGAGAGCTGAGAACCCTCCGGCTCCTTGGCTCCTTATCTGGGAGAATCCCGCTGCCACGTGTGGCCAAGGCACGTGTGTCAGCCGAGCCCGGAGGGCACGGCCCGATCCGGGATGCTCCGCAAGGAATGCGCAGGGGCCGGGACACCGGCTCCAACCGGGCGTGTTGCTACCGGCAGCGGCTGCAGCTGCAGCGGCTTCCCCGGCCCAGCGGGACCTGCAGCCTCTGCGGCAGGATCAGGGCTCTCTCCCTCCTGGATTCCATCCCCGTTTCCAGCAGTTTCACCCCGTGCTGGCGGAGCCGGGGTGAGGCCGGCTGGGTGAGGATGATGAGGTAGCGAAGGTCACAGGGAGTGGGAGAATTGCCACGAGGCTCCTCCGTGGCTGGGCAGCGTCCTGCCCTGGCTGAGCCCTGGATTATCCTTTGGGAGACTGCAACCACCCGTGCCGAGCTCCTCCTCAGTGGTGTCACCCTCGGGAGAGGGACACGTCTCCATCAGCGAGGGATGTTCTCCAGGTCCTCTGTTTGGGCAGTGGGCCACGGGCAGGAAGGTGGAGCAGGGCCAGACTGTCTGCCAGCACCTGGGAATGTCCTCACGGCCCTGGAAGGAGCTTCCACGCCTGTTGCCACCAGCAGAGCTGCGGGGATGAAGCTCTGCTCTGCCTGGGTCCTGCACCAGCAGCACAGGAGGGGCTGTCTCCATTCCTGGGGGAGCTCTTGGTGCCTGTTGCAGTCCCGTCTCTGTGGGCAGAGCTGGAAGGCTGGGCCCTTGCCCGTGGAGCCAGGAGCAGTGTCCCTCTCGTCTGCCTCCAGCCGTGGCCCTTTCTGGGCTCATGTCATTCTGCCCAGAGCAGAGGGCAGTGCTCAGCACAGCACGTGCCTGCCTGCTTTGTGCATCCTCAGCCCTTTCATTATGTTCCTTTTCCACTTGTGCTGTGGGAAGAGCTGGGGAATGTCTTTCTGTGGCCACCGGCACCTTCTGGGGAGAGCGTGGCCAGCAGGGCCTGTCCTGCCCGTGCTGTGCAAGTGCTGGGTCGGGCACAGCCAGGGAGCTGCTGGCGTTTGGGGCCATGGCCCTGTTGGAATTCCAGGGATAAAATCCTTGCTGAGCCCAGAGCTGCCTGGCTGGGGACACAGAGATGCCCTTGACAAGGTCAAACTGTGCCTTTGGGCTGCAGAGTCACTGCCTGGAGCCCGCTGGGACCCTGCGTTGGGTGACGCTGCTGTGTCTGCAGCCCACGCTGTGTCGCGCTGGAATAAACCCTGGGCACAGCCCGTGGGGGGCTGCAGGGCAGGGGGCAGAGGGTTTGGCACAAGGACACGGCTGTCTGCTGGGTAAACACCGTGTGCTGTTCATCTTTTGAAGTAAAACACCTATAAATGGTGCGAATGGAGCTGCCAGAGGTGCTGGGCACACACTGCCCTGGGAGCACCCCCGTGGTGGGGACAGTGACCGGCAGTGCCAGGGTAGTGCCACTGTGTGACCGCCTGGCATTTCTGCCCCTGCTTTCACCTGCCTCCGCACCAGCAGCTGGAGCTACTGGTTAGACTGGTCCCAGACCTGGTTTTCCCCCAGTGCTGCCAGCCCTTGTGACCGTGACGTAGCCCGAACACCCTTTGCTCCATCCTGGCTCGTGTTCCCTGCCGGGATTGGGGCTCTCATGCCCTGGGGGGCACTGGGGGCAGGCGAGCATGGGGAATGTGACGCTGCTGCCTGTGCTGTGTCATAGCCCAAGGTGGAAAAGCCTCCCAGTTTCTCCCGGTTGACCGCACCGTTGTGGAAACGAGCAACCGGTTTGCAGCCGTGCCCAGCGGGGTCCTGAGGGGTCCCAGGGGTCCAAGAGGGAGGAGAAGGGGAAATGCTGGCCCCGAGCCTGGAAGAACAGATCCCTGCGGTCCGTGCCGTGCGTGGGAGGAGGCGGGAGGGCCGGGGGGAGCGAGCCGGAGCCAGAGGAGGGGCCCCCTCTTTCCTTCTCCCGCGGGCGAGGAGCGCGGTGGGCGCAGCCGGGACTGTCCCCTCCTGCCACCGCGCAGCCGTCCCCGGCTCAGGCTGCTCCCTGCTCGCCAGCAGCAGCTGCGCCGGAGCGGCTTCGCCTGGCCGAGCATCCTCCCGCCCGTGCGGATGAGGACGGAGGGAGGGAGCTGGGGGCTGCCGGCATCCGCCCCGCCGGCACACGCCGGGTGAGAGCAGCCTCGGCACAATAGGCTGAGCCTCCTCGGGGGGCGGCGGAGCCCCCCTTCCCTGGGGAGCAGACCCTCTCCCCGGCCACCATGGTGGTTTTCATGGGCAGGAACCTCTCCTCGCTTCTGGCTTTCTTCAAGAAGAAGGGTGAGTGAGCAGCGGGCAGGGAGGGAGGCAGGCAGGGAGCAGAGCCTTGTCCTTACACAACCCCTGCCCGCCGGGACCCCCCCCCGGCCCGGGGTGCTCGCCCAGCCGCAGAGGGCAGGGGGGCTGCCACACCCGGGGGAGGGCAGGGAAGGTCACCCCAGCCCTGGCGTCTCCCCTGCGAAGTTACCGGAATAAATCACTGCTCTCCTCTCCCCGCAGGGCAGCTCCGAGCGTGTCTGGGGGGTGTCAGGCGAGGGGCTGCCCGAACTGGGGGAGAAAAGGGGATTAGGAACATGGGGAGGAGGGGGGGCTGTGGGTATCTTGTGTCCCCTGCAGGGATTTTGCACCAGCACAGGGGACCCGTGTGGCAGTGGCGGGCTGGCCGTGCCCCGCTGCCCGCTCACACCGGGGCTGCTGGCGGAGGCAGAGGCCGGCATGGCGGCAGGGAGGGAGGCTCCATTGTTCCAGGCCTGCTCCTTTGTGTGCCGGAGTCGGAGCACGGCCGCCTCGCTGCCTGGCTGGGCTGGCGCTGAGGGGACACCCGGGGAACACAGGGGACAAGGGGTGCTGTGTGCTGCTGGCCGTGCTGAGCAGCAGGTGCCCGTGGCCCCGGGGTGCCGCCGCCAGCCCCGACGGCTTCCTGCGCTCGCCCTTCCCTTCCTCAAAATTGGTTGTTTTTTTTTTCCTGGGCAGGAAGAGTTTGAGGCTTCGCTCAGGCAGGAGTGGGCAGGGCTGTGCCACGGTGCTGCAGTGCCTGGGCTGGGTGATGCCAGGGCTGGGTGATGCCCGGGCTGGGTGATGCCCGGGCTGGGTGATGCCAGGGCTGGGTGATGCCCTGGCTGGGTGATGCCAGGGCTGGGTGATGCCAGGGCAGCCCCTGGCCATTGGCACAGCAGGGTGGCAGTGGTGGTGGCTGTGGGGAGGGGGCTGCAAGGCAGAGACCGAAGGCTCTGTGCGAGGCAGATGGGGTGTTCAGCATCCAGTGGGGTTTGGAGCAGGGATTTGGGTCCTCTGGGATCTCTGCTGCTGGATGTGCCTCAGTTTCCCTCTTGTGTGCAGTTCCCAGCCTGCCTGGGCATGGGGGGAGTCCCTGCTCTTGGGGTGACGAGCAAGACCTGGGAATGACGCAATGCTCGGAAGGGAAAGTCATCCTCCTTCCATCCACATTTAATCTCCTCCTGTGCTGCCCCTTCCCTGCCCAGCCCCACACAGTTCACCACCTCGTTAGCTCCTAACGAAGGTGCTGGGGAAGGAGGGTGGTCCCACATCCCAGAACCGCTTTGGTGGTGGGGAGAAAACCAGTGGAGACATCGTGACTCTGGAATATCGACTGGCCAGGCAGAGCCGTGGGATGGGATTTCTCTCGGTGTTTCCAGTGCCCAGTTTGGAGCCGATAACATCATCCTGAGGTGGCTGTCAGCAGCCAGAACTCACCCCCCATGGGTTGGGACACCCTGGTGGCAGCGTGGCCGTGTCCCCCCAGCCCAGCTGAGCCCTCTGTCCCTGCAGGCGCTGCCAAGGGCGAGGGTGAGAAGCGGCTGAGCGTGCAGTACACGGCGGGCGAGGAATGTCCCGACAACGTCTTCTTCCCCAGCACGCGGCCCCCACACCTGGAGGAGCTACACAACCAGGCCCAGCAGGGGCTGAAGTCCCTGCAGCACCAGGGTAGGTGTTCCCAGCCCCAGGGTGGCCTTGGGGACACGGTGGAAGGGCTGTCCCCAGCTCCTGGCTGGCCGGGCGGTGTGGGCGGCGCATGGGGCTGACCGGAGTCCAGTGCTGGTGGCTGGGCTGTGCAGGGGGCACTGTCAGCTCGGCAGCTGCTTCCTCCAGCTCTCCTGGAGGGATTTACCTTCTGTTTTCCCTCCACAGAGAAGCAGAAACAGACCAAAAGTGCCTGGGACCACGGGGACACCAGCAGCCTCCAGGTGAGCCCTGCCAGGTAGTGCTCTTGGGGTGCCCTGGGAGTGAGGTGACACAGGGTGGCTCTTCTGCCCTCCCTGGTGGGTTTGGGGGCAGACAAGCAACCAGCCAAGGTGGCAGGACCATGTCCAGGGGGGTTGTGGGGCTGGAACTGGCTGTGTGTCCCTTGGTGTTGCCCCCTTTGCCCCATGACAAACTGCTCCATCCTCAGCCTCGGTACATCCTGCTCTGCCCTGTGGGGCTCTGCCAGGGTCCCCCCTGTCCCCCTGGTGTCCCCTGGGAGCCCTGACTGAGGAGAGATGACGTGGTGGCATGGTGGGGACTGTTGGCCATATCCAGCCTGTTGCCTGTGCTCCTCCCCAGCTGCAGATGAGGAGAAACTCCCCCTCTTTTGGCCAAGCTGAGCTTTGGCAATCCCTGGGCTCTGACCCCGCTGCCAGTGCCTTGTCCGCCTGTCTTTGCTCAGGCTGTTGCCTCTCATTGGCTCTCAGCCCCTTTCACCCCTTGGAAGTGGGGAACTGGAAACCCCAGGATGGGCAGAGCCATGGGGGCAGCGAGGTGGAAGGGTCAGGTTAACTCGGAAGTGTCTCATGCCAACCTGTGCCAGGGGTGGTTTGGAGGGATGGGGACACTGGAAGCTGTGTCCAGCGTGGGGCTGTGTCCAGGGAGTGCTGGGGGCCCTGCCTGCCTGTCCCTCTCCCAGCCCAGCAGCCCTGGGCTCTGGGGCACAGCAGGGCTGGGAACACCCATGGAGTCATTTCAGGCCTGGCAGTTCCTTCGGGTGCTCCTTGTGTGCACCAGAGCCCGTCTCTCCTGCTCTCCGGGGGGCTGCAGAGCCATGTGGGCTCCCAGGGGCCGCTCCCAGCCCTGCTCCTGGTGGGAGGACTCTGGATGCCGGCGTGGCTGACTCAGCCTTTGGCCCTCGGAAGAGCTTTTGTCTCGGCTGCAGTCAGTTCGCGGCAGGGAAGGGGCCTGGCCAGGGCTGGGGCAGCTCTGTCCCCGCAGCCCCGGCTCTGCTGAGCCCACCGTGTCCCCACAGTCCTGCGCATCCTCGGAGGATGACAGCCTGTCCTTCCGGAGCCAGGCGGCCTCCTGTGCCACAGACAGCACCTCTGAGGATGCCCTCTCCATCCGCTCCGAGATGATCCAGCGTAAAGGTACCTGGCTGTGGGCTGTGGGACGGGGGCTCGCCAGGAGGGTTGGAGAGTGCAGGGCAGGGAGCTGGGCTCTGCCTCGGTGTGGCCATGAGCCAGCGCAGGGATTTGGGGGCCCTTGGGAGAGAAGAGAGAGGCTCTGGCTGAGTCAGAGCATTGGGGCTGGGCAAGGGGGATGGACAGAGAGAGACAGACAGACAGACACCGTCTCCTCCCTGCTCAGACTGTTTGGTTGGTGCCTCTCTGGGCTGTTCCAGTGCCTGAGCCTGGCTTATCTTAGAGGACCTCAGTGGGAAGTGCTGGGGACACTGGGGATGCCCTGGCCAGGGCCCTCCTCACATCAGCTGGACCCTCTCACACCTCTTGTAGGTTCCACTTTCCGACCACACGACTCCTTTCCCAAATCCTCAGAGAGGGCTGGCAAGAAGAGGAAAGAGAGGAGGACGACGGTGCTGGGCATCCCCCAGCACATCCATAAGGAGCTGGGTAAGCTCTGGGGGCAAGGGCGGATTTTTAGGAGCTGTTTCCCTTGGGATCACTCTGAAGTCATCTCTCCCTGCCCCCAGGTCTCAGGAACAGCCATGGAGCCAAGGGACATCTCGAGGCAGATGGGCAAGGGCCAGCAGGCTGCGGGGACAGCCGGGCAGCGCAGCAGCCCCTGCTGAACGGGGGGCAGGTGTCCGGCGACACCGTCCGCATCCCCACCATCGACGGGAAGCTGCAGCCTCTGCCCGTGTCCGGCGGCGCCCGTGTCTGCCTGGGAGCGTTGGAGGAGGCGGATGCAGCCCTGCAGAAGCACATCAACAGGGTTTACTACGACGACAGCTTGCTGGGGAGGAAGACAGAGGCAAAGCTGTCGCCCATGGTGAGGCCAAAGTCGCTGGCCGTGCCGGGCATGACCACCTATGCCAACCCCCCGGAGATGCTGGTCGGCCCCGTCATGTCCATCTCACCCCAGGGCACCTACATGTCCAAGATCATCCCCAACGCCATCCTGCCGCCCATGGTGGATGTGGTGGCCCTGACGAGGAGCAGCGTGCGGACGCTGAGCCGCTGCAGCCTCGTTTCATCCAGCCCGGCCTCGGTGCGCTCCCTGTCCCGTTTCTCGGAGCGCAGCGCCCGCAGCCGCGAGCCCTCCTCCTCCAGCGACAACTGGAGCCATTCTCAGTCCACGGAGACCATCGTCTCCAACAGCTCCACCATCTCCTCCCAGGGCGGCTGCGACCACCGGCAGCCCGAGGCGGGGCCGCACGGTGAGGCGGATGCGGCGGCTCGCTCCGACACCGACCAAATCAGCATCTACAGCTCCACCAGCTTTGCCAGCTCCTGCTCCAAGCCCGCTGCCGGCCTCACCCCTGCGGTCCCCGGGCTCCTGGGCGTGGGCAGTGGCCGTGCGTCCCCTGCCTACAGCACGAGCAGCCAGGCAGACGGCTCGGACACGGCCAGCCTGGCCAGCGAGCGCTCCTCCGCCCGCAGCGTCTCCCTCAGGAAGATGAAGAAGCCCCCGGCCCCTCCCCGCAGGACCTACTCGCTGCACCAGAAGGCTGATGGGGAGCCCAAGGTGCTGGGGCTGCCCCCCAGGCCTGACCGGCGGCCCCAGCGGGAGAGCAGCGCGCCCTGGTCCCCGCGGGCCGAGCCCTTCAGCCCCACGGGCGAGGATGAGGTGTTCTCTCCATCGCTGAGCGAGACC